GGGTCTAGCCCATCTTTTGCGGAGCTGGTTGGAGCCCTAGGGTCAGAAACCACTGTAAATGTGTGGCTTTCTTCGTGGCACCGCGCCAGGCACTGTGGCTCCTTCACCATGCAGCGGCGCTACGCATGCGCAACCGCGAAGCGGGCCATCGTGAGCAGCTCGGGCAGCGGTAAGCCGTGGGGCATGCTTAACACTGGCTTGATACGGAAGGTTGAAGAATCCCATCACTTCCAATGAAGTCCTGCTTGTGTTAACTGAGCCATTAAGCCATTGGGTCCATTCTGAAGTGAATGTAAGGCTTTGGTCGCATCTCCTCACAGTGCATTGTTCCATCCGACAAGTTTCGGTCTATGGGGGTACTTGGAGCCCTCCGTCAAAAGATCAGAGATCATGTTGAGGCCCTCTCCGTGGATTCCATATTGTGTGGCCTGGATCATAGATAGCCTTTTACTATCCTTTTACTATATATTGGTTGGTTTGTAAATAATTCGAGGGGGTACCCCCAAGTGAGCAACCGATAGGCAAATAGATGATAATAGATGTAAATGGTACTTGGCACTGACCTTCCACATCATTGGCCTCAATCTGCACAGGCCCCGCGAAGTATTCCCCGTCCATGAGGGCGACAGCCAAGCGGCAGCCAGTCACTTGGAGACGGTTTCCGGGCCTGGCGGATGGCGCGATGTCACAGCCCTTACCTGGGCTGTTGTAAAATTTGTGTGTACGGTAAAGGTGAACATATGTGAACCTATCCTCACCCTACCCCAGAGATGACCTTTTTAACACTCCAAAAGGTGTTGTTGCGCTTTAACGGTCCACACCCTCATCCCCTTAACTGCAGAAGGTGTTTGGAAAGTATGTCCCACCCCTCTAGGTCTTTGGACCCTCACTTCACCTAGACACATGTGTCGAACATATCACCTTCACAGATGATGGCAGTGGATCCATAGGGAGGGTATTTGTATGCTGACCAAATCGATCGAAGGAAGAACGATCATTCCCACACCTCGCTGCTTCGCTGCGAAGCGAGGCTTGGAACTTCACGCGGCCCAAAAGCGCGCGCCAGCCGACCGTCCGCCGCTGGGTACGGAACCGGGCCGTGGTGTTCACGTGCCGGCGGTTCGGGTGGCCGTGGATTAAACATCCATGGAGATGTAGGGCATGTAGGACCCTATAAAAAGGTCCAGGTCGACTTTTTTGGGGGGGCAACGGCAACACCTGAAGTGTTTTTAGGACGTGTCCGAGCTCGGATCACCTAAAGTTGTCATGTGTTTTTGGAATGATCTCGGACTTCCGGCGTAACGGTTTTTCCCCTCAGAAGCTTGGAATGGATCCTGCAGGCACTGAAGAAGCACACATGCTCGCCCTTCGCAGTGGATGTGTAAACGGTGTCTTTTTGGTTCGGGAACCAAGAAGGGTCAGTATACGGAGAACTGGAATTCATGGATCGAGTTTCATTTAGCACTGCTTTTTGATTTGATCATTATGATCTAATTGTTTGACCAGCACGCTCTTTGATGTGCCCCCTTTGTGCCATCATCGTCATGTGTTCGTGTTCATATAGGTTCTCACCAGTGGGCCATGAGGCGGAAGGGCTACCCTCTTAGAGACGAGGCAAGGCCCTCAAACCCCCAGCAAAACTCAAGAAATCCGTTGCTATCCTCCTTGATGAAGGTGAAGTGTTCGACACTTTTGCCATCTTTTGTCTAGAAGTGAGGGTCCAAAAAAGTCCAAAGACCTAGAGTCTCTATAGAGGAGCCCTTTTGGAGAGTGGGACGACGTATCTAAACACCTTCTTAGGAGGTACTTGGATCCCTATGGCCTTCACCGCGCGCCATGTGAGCACGTAACTAACTATGTGTAAGTATCCTTTGTCCACATGGTCGTGTTCTTCTTTGGCGGGGGGTAGCACCCAGCTCTAGGCAGTCACCTTTGTAGCACCCATGCAGAAGGGGGTGGTGAATGGACATCTGTCATTTTTTTATCACCTTTGAAAACCTTCCTTATTATTAAATTACCACGGGTTGAGCATATCCATGAGCTCTTAACCTTCATGGGCACCAGGGCACCCTATATGAATTCTATAGAATTGTGTGGTTTTGACACATCCCAAGCACTCCCCTGTATACCATATATGCCTGTGGCCTATGACCCCCCAACCCCCACCACCCCAAGTCTTCTTGGCCGAACTCGGCCTATATCAGCTCCGTCTTCCTCCCCGTCACCTCTCCTCGACGGCACCTCAGGCGTCACGGTGGCCGGCCTCTCGGAGCACGTCACGGACCGCGCGCTGAAGCGCCTCTTCGAGCCCTATGGGCGCGTGCTCTGCGCCGGGGCGCAGCGCGTCGGTGCCGCCAGTGCCTCGAAGGGAGGGGAGGGGAGGGGAGGGGGGAGCGGAACGGGAGGAGCGGACGTGTGAGAGGCTTAAACAAATTGACACCTTTCAAGAGTCTGTCGCCAGATATTTCAACGAAACTGCATTGCTATATGGAATCTATTTGGATTATTTATATGGCTATATAGCGCCCTAGGGATCCAAGTACCTTCTCAGAAGGTGATTGGAGGCACTGTTATGTAGGTTTGAAGGGTCCAAGTACCTTCTGAGAAGGTACTTGGATCCCTAGGGCGTCTTTAGGAAGTGCAGGCGGTGCATTCTGAACCAAATCTTATCTTGGAAAAGTACTGACAGTTTCGCCGATCACAATGCAGTTTCAGTCCGTTGTTTTGTGAATGATGCTGTTTGTTGTGTATTTGCCCTGCTTGTTGCTAGAAGTCTTCGGAACATGGTCATCCCAATAAATAATGCCATCCACGTAAGCAGCATTTGATCATTTCAGGGAGTGTCATACCCAGACACTCCATGTATGGCATATTATTTGCCTACATTGACCCCCCAAACCACCCCAACTGATCGGCATATCTATATGGCACACATGGAGTGTTTTGGATATTGAATAATTTTTCCCAATCAATGCTTCCGGGGTCTGAGGTTCGGAGGCCGGACTTGGGTCAGTTCCAAAGCTTCACGACTTGGGTTGGCTCATGTTGGCTCAGTTGCAATCGCTTTTGTCATCTATCCAAGATTTGAGACTTGTAGCATCTGAAAGAAAAAGCGGTACAAAATGCTTGCATGCCTTGACACAAAAAAAACACCAGATACATCCACGGCGAGACTCCACGTGCATGAAAAACCGTTCTCTCCAGGCGGCCGTTGTTGTGGCACGGGCTTCGTGAAGTACGGAAGCCTGGAGGAGGCCACCAAGGCCGGCTTCCGTGCGGTGGAAGCGAGAAACGAGCACGGATCGGAGCGAAGGCCATGCCATTCCACATGTTTTTTTTGGGGAGGGTTGTTGGAGTTTGTTGGTGAACCAGATTGGGGCATTTCTTCCCATGGAAGCCTGTCCCCTCTACATGTCAACCTGAAGCTTGCCGATTGCAAGCTTGATCCGACGGCGAAGTCGTCTACGGCCTCAGACTGGGCAGAACTTGCAGCTGACCGCGTCGCTGGTCCCAACGGGGCTGCCCGGCACTCCATGGAGTGAACGTGGACGCCCAGCTCACGGCAGCAAGCTGCTCAAAGCAGAGCTGTGAAAAGATTTAGGGCTTGACACTCGCAAGAGATGGCAAGCTGAGGCAGAAATTTGAAGAAGACAGTCAGAGGTTTAGTACCCAAACACTGCATGTGCTGGATATGATTGTATATGCATGCATGGCATATGTGCCTACATTGGGGTTGAAACGGGTTCAATGTAGGCATATTATAAGTTTTCTTGGAGCGTTTGGGGAAACCCTGGCCTGGGTTTGGCCGGGCCCTGCAATAACGTCTTGCAAAGATGAGCCATCATGAGTCATGAGCACCGCTAGGCCCCACTAGATATGTGATTGTGCCATGCTTGGGTGCGCAATCACGAGTTCTCTAGCTATGGAAACTCGATCGGCTATCCCTTCCGGTCCGGTGTGACCAAGTAGATCCTTGTCCTGAAAAGCTCATTGAGTATGGCTTTAGCACAAATGAGCTCAATGACTTGTAGGATATTGTAGGATATAATGAATATATATATATATATAGCATTACTTCTGTCACTCATGGCCCCTTGAAAGCATGAGGTGGGCGCATGTTTCAGGGCGGAAGTGAGCCAAAATGAGCCAACTTGTTGCAGGCAGTGGCTCAGATGCACCGGCGTGCCGCTGGGCGAGCACTGAAGTTCGATGCGCGAGAATTGGAGACGTGGGCTTTGCGTCGTGGAAGAAAATGGCTTTGCCCAAACACTCCGTGCGAATAGGCTAAATACAATGACCCTATCTATTTTATAAATATAATGGAGAGACCCTATAAGATTACATCGACCCTAGACTCTGGACCAATCAAAAAGGATGCGTCCTCAACGCCGTCCTCACCGTTGACCTCGCTTCCGTCTTCCTCTGTCACCTCGCGGCTTCTGAACCTCGCCGGGGCGCTTTCGGATCCTCAGGTGCTGAACGATCAGATCCTTCACATCGACAGTTCCGCGGCCCCAAGTGCTCGGCGGTTCGTCGGACTGGGACGACGGAGAGACCTGCAGGGAGTGAGGAGAACCACCCGCCGGCGCTTCGGCGATCGCTTCGGTCGCGGTTCGGTTCGGGGGGACGACTTGGAGGACGAGCAGAGGAGGAGAGGAGCAGCTTGAAGTTTGGAGGATCGGTATGGCAGGTGTGACAGTGATATCCATCCATATCCATCCCAACCTGTTCCAGTCTGACCCAGGTCCGGGTTCCTGGTCCTGAAAACATGAAGGAGTGGTCTCAACGGAGCTGCTTTTCAGCGCCGCCTGGGTTTGGGGAAGATGGCTGAGGGGCTTGGACCAGGCCAGGCTGGGTGTTTAGCAAGCTAAAGGTCAACGTGACCCCGCCATTGGCCTACGGGATGTGCCGGATGTTGGAACACCAGATGTAGCTGCTTCAGAGGTAGGCGGATTTCGCTTCACCCGGTATATAGTATAGTTATAGCCACAAAGCCTCAGCTCGAAACCCCCACAAGTGCAAGTCAAACTCCAACTAGGATGCTTTCTTCCGTAGGATCTGTTTTTCGGCTCAGATCCGATCTCCGATGCAGTGAAAGTCGAAGTCGACACTATATATTTTTCTAAATGGGCTGTGGAGCCTCCTCCTCCGCCCGAGCAGCGCACTGCCGCCCCGCAGCACCGTGTGACGCCCTGCAGCGGTGCCGGCAGAGGGCACGCGTGGCGCCAGCACAGGATCTTCAGAAAATGGTGGACGGTGGCTTGGAAGGAGTTAAGCCGCTGGGCCTTTGGGTTCCAGTGCCCAGGCGGTGCTTGCAGCAACTGGTTTTGGAAAGCCCAGGCGGTGCTGGGGATTCCTTGGAGGCTGATGACACATTGCCTTCTGAGAGACGATGCACTACTTGTATAGTATTGTATAGTGTTAAAGTATATTGGAGTCAACTTTCCAGAGTATATATAGATCTATTTGTCTGTACATGGCTGTACTGTTTTTGTTTCTGCCTGCGGCATTCGTAGATGCTTCACTGTTGGGAGTCAGACTCAGCCATTCAAGTCCTAGACTTATGGCCTTTACTCAATGGGATCAAAGACTTTGGCATTCCCCTCTCATTCTCAGCAGGTGAATTTGTGTTGTTGTGTTTTTTCACCACTGGATCAGGCCTGTTTTCAAAAACCAGTTTCACCTGGGATTGGTTGAAGCAAAATGATCCCTTGCGACTGACCACGTCCCACAACCCCTTTCTTGACTGAAGTATTGAACATCATGAACCTATATATATATATATTTGACCTTTATTTTCGATAAAAAACAATGCTTTGGCTCTAAAACAGGGATCACTCAGGTTCTAGGTATGTGTCTATGGGGGAAAGACTAGGCATTGAATTGTAGACAGCTGGCTTTTCTGGGGACATTTCTGCAGCTGATGCTGTTCCTTCAACTGATGACAACTTATTTTGCAATGAACCATCAATGCCTCCCTTAGGTCTACCTTCCACAGATGACCAAAAGCCAATGTCCTTTAATTCCCACCTTTCCTACATGCCTTTCAATAGCTGTTTGGACTATGTATACCCAATGGACATCAAGGGACTGTGCCCAGTATTCGACACCCACCGATGGTCCAACTGGTGCCCAGCACCCATCGCGCCGCGCAATCACCGAGTCCACCAGTTGGAATTGATTCGCTCGAGCATCAGCAAGCCCAGCACACGAAGCTCCGAACGCAGTTCGAGCAAGTGCAGCCTGGTTGATGACGTTAATGGCGGATGTTGTTTTGGATTTATAGTCCATGACCTGGCGAATACCCACCGCGCAGATTATCCTATCCCTGAGAATTGACCCGTGGAAGATGACCATGTCTTCCGTTTCGACCAACCCAGTGGTTTTTCGGGGGGGTCATGTGGTCCGAACAGCAAGGAACCATCCTTATATAATCTCTTCTACTTGGGGCTAGCTATTCACTGGAAACCCTTGGGGGTCCGGTACTTGGGTGAACTCCCCAGGCAGGGCTTCCGACGAGCCGGAGCTCCCCAAGCCTAGCGCCTCGGACGGAGCAATGTGAAGGATGAACGCCAAAACCATGGCAGGTTGAGATCGTTTGGTGGTTTTGTTTGGAGGAAGGTCAACTTAGGTCAGGGTAGGATCTATAACTCTTTTTGGGGGGGGGTTGAATTGAATTGCGTGAATGTATTGATTTACTATGTCATACTTCATATGCAAAGAGCCAGTGCGTTTGTTTTTTGTTGCTTGGCGGCCAAGATTTCAGCTGCGTGATCGGAAGCTCGGGGGATGGGTGATGGGTGTGCCAAGCTATGACGCCCAAGCTATGCTGAGGGACTCACCAGACAACAATGGTTCTAAAAAGTTAAGGAACCTAATATAGTAATAGCGATGGCTTCCAACCTACTAGCGATGGCCTCCAACCTACAGATCCGGGTTGAACACCTTGAGAAATTCCTTCAGATCCGCCGGAGGACTGGGTCCTTCGTCCAACCGCTCGAAGTCGACTGCTTCCTAGTCGTACTAGTCGGTCAGCTCGCCTGCTGTCGGGCGCACAAGAAACAGCATGGGGTGCTTGACAGCCATTCTTCGGTGTCAACGGATGACATTGCTGCGGAAGGCTCAATTTGATACCAGGACCTTCCCTGCCAGGTCTCCGAAATGGAGGGTTGGGCAGGGCCCGAAGACAGGTTTCAATGGGTGACCTGGCAAGGAGGGGCTGGTATAGGATCTAATGTCAACGTCGTATTAATCAACGGGCCCCCCCCCCTAGAAGGTCAACAAGGTCTGAGATTGGAGGTTTTGGAGATCACATCCCCCTAATAGTGGGGATGACCTGATGATGAAAGGGAATTAGTATTTGGAAGAATTGGAATGAAAGGGAATTAGTATTTGGAAGAATTGGAATGAAAGGGAATTAGAATTTGGAAGAATTGGAATGAAAGGGAATTAGTATTTGGAAGAATTGGAATGAAAGGGAATTAGTATTTGGAAGAATTGGAATGAAAGGGAATTAGCATTTGGAAGAATTGAAATGAAAGGGAATTAGGATTTGGAAGAATTGGAATGAAAGGGAATTAGTATTTGGAAGAATTGGAATGAAAGGGGAATTAGTATTTGGAAGAGCTGGGATGGAATGATGAGATCCATGAGAGCCCAAATACTAATTCCCTTTCATCATGAGGTCCATGAGAGCTCATCATGGATGGGGTTGACTAATACGGGGGGGTACCCCACTATTAGAGGGGGGTAGGTGCGAAGATGCAACACCTAAAACTAGATGGATCTTGTGTAGAATGTCCAACTCCAAGAGACTGAAAACTTTGGTACACTTCTCGACTTGAAATCCCGACGCGCTTCTTTTCCGCTGCTCCCACGACTCTTCGAGTTACGCGGCTTGAGCCAAGATTCGGGCAATCTTGGCGTGTTCGCTCACATGGATAAAGGTGTTCTTGACTGAAGTCAAGAGTGGCCAAAAACATGAACACTATCGTTCAAGTGGGCCTTTGGGATCTTCGTGCTGGCTCACAAGGAACTTCAAGAAGTGACTTTTCAGACCCCCTCACAGCACGACGATCACTAGCTGGAACTCACCAGCATTCGCTTCAGCCACTGTAAACAACTGCCCTTTCAAAGCCTTGCCAGAGACTTTTGCAGCTTGGTCTGCTAAGCCTTCGATGGCTGCCATGCGGACATAGAGAGGTGGAATAGGATCATTAACACGCTCGCTCGGGTTCACGAGCACTTGCTGATGCACCGCGCATTGAAGCTGATTCCAAATTAAACACTGCATTCAAGCTGATTCCAAATTAGACGCTGCACTCAAGCTGATTCCAAATTAGACGCTGCACTCAAGCTGATTCCAAATTAAACGCTGCACTCTCATTCACTGAATTGTAGCCTCCTCTGCTTTGTAGCTTTCAAGCTCCAACCGAGAAAAGGCTGCCGAAAGTCGCTGATGACTCGAAAACTGAGCAAAAATTCAAAGACTACTTAGGTTTTGGCTTTTCTTTTGCAAAAGGTTCTCTCACAAAAAAAATCTCTTGGTGCGCGAAAAATCCCTTAGGGCTTCCTGGAAAATCTCAAAAGAAGTCAAGGATGCTCTGAAGCACTGCACGGCTCATGTTTGTCGGATACAAACCCTCACTGTGAAGGTTTCGAGACCTCAAAGGAACATGATCACGCTGGCACTTGCATCGAAAACACTGGATCGGATGGGATGACTGCACACGATATGTATGCTTTGCATTATTCTGCTTTGCGGACATGAAATGACATCGGTCAATGAAAACCTTGTATGGACACAACTCTGTGATGAGTGTTTCCACGTTCTCACTCTTCCAATACCGACAAGCCCGCGACAACTCAACACATGCGACATCACACTTTGCAAGGATTCCACGTCCCTGCTCCAGGAGAGCTACAAACTCATCCCAGTACCGCACGAACCTTGGAACGATGTCTTCCTGCTTCAAAAACTGACATGGAGATCCCCCTGTGCAAGGTGGACTGAACCACCCAATGATGAGCAAGCTAGGTATTTCATTTCGAATCCGCTCTAGAAGACCAAGAAGTTCAAAAGCAATTTCTTCCAATGGATTCCTCTTTGTGGACTGGAAAACGAAGATTCTCATGCCCTTGATTGTCTTTTCATGGACAGGTTTGAAACCCTCTTGCGTGCACAAATCCAAAACTAGGACATGGAAATCCCCTTCAACAAGCCGCTCGAATACCGAACACACTTCAAGACACACGTCCCCTGGTGAACTCTGTTCTGGCTGGGAATGAACAGAGTGAACAAAGGTCGGCTCTTGGCGAACAATCGGTCGAACGGACAAAACCTTGTTTCCGACCCCTTTCATTTCCCATTGCCATGTCTCTGGGAGAGTGGCCTCAGTGAACCCCATCATTTCCCGAAACTTCTCAGTCTTTACCTGGTCCAAAATCTTCGTCAAAAGATCTGCAACCATTTCATGCGTTGAAACCCAACTAGGATCAATCACTCCTGCTTGAAAAAGCTTCTGCAAAAATGCCACTGCTATGTTCATATGACGAACCTTTCGGGTCAGGCCGTCACCATTTACTACTGCCAAAGCGGACGACGAATCGGTTCCGAGGCTAAACAGAAGAACTCGTGGCAGTTCCTCAATGTTGCTTTGCAAAAACTCTTCACATGTGATGTTCGAAGGGATGAGGTCACCGACCAAAAACTGAAGCAACCGGGTGATTCCAAGTGTATCTTGGGATGCCTGGGCAAGGGAAATGAGCTCTGCTTCACATGAGGAAAGGGAGGACGACTGCTGCTGCCTCGACACTGCCTTAAGCAGGTTTCCTTTCCAAAAAACCACATAACCTGACACACTTCGGTGTCCCCAAGAGGCATCTGCAAACACACGGATTGCTGGGTCTTCATCTTTCCACTCATACTTTTGCCACAAATGTAAACAACCTTTCACGAATCTCAAGACTTTCTTGAGAGCTTTCTCGTGGCACTGTTGTGGGTGAGCTTGTCCCTGCGCCAACAATGCTGAAAAACGGAGGAGGTCACACCGTGTTTGACAGTACCATGCCAAACGTCCAAGCTCTGATCGAAAAATACTCGCCTTTTCATCATCCAACGCTGGTGAATCTTTCTCACTTTCCAAATCAATGTTCGGCGGAGTCGCTGTCGGTTTGAGATCTTTGACCAATTCGTGCAAATAACTCACGGGAATGCGAACGAAAAGAGAACAACTCGTATCAAAGCGCTCAATCTCTCGTCCCAAAAACATCAACCGCCCGGGTTGATTGGCTGAAATGTGACCGGTGATCTTTACCTTCTCAACTCTGGTTCGCAACATGGACTGCACAAATTCTGCTGCTTTTGGATGTGAACTGACAATGAGGAAGTCATCCACGTAGCAGGCCATCACTAAATCACAGCTGTTTTCACCATCTGTCCAAGTGCCTTTGAACACGCAGGTCTCTGTTTCATGTGGGTAGATGTTATATACTCCTTCCCAACACTGCGGACCAAGCCAATCCAGGCACGGGCTCCGACGCGAAGTCCGTTCAAAGCTCTATTCAGCTTCGCAAAGATTGGTTGGTGTCCCGTCGCAGACCAGGACAGATCACCTGGGAGGCGGATGACATACGTTTGTCCCTCAGGGATGGGTGAATGCAAAAAGGCTGTCGAAACATCTATGGTGGAGATGTTCATGCCTGGTTGGGATCCTAGAGAGATAATGGCGCGAATGCTTTCAGCCGATGGTGTTCCACTGGACAGACCCAAGTGGGCTGCTGAACCCCATGCAACCTCCTGCACGACCATTCTCATGCGAACACCCTCAACTAGTCTGGATGAAACATTTTCCGATGATTGAATCATCTTGGGATTCACTACCCAGCGTGTGTTGATGACTTTAACCCCCTCATGAACACAAATGTCTTTTGCTTGTTTCTCAGTCAACAAATCACCAAAATGGACCCTGATCAGTGCATTCAGCTCGACGATACGACCTGATTTCGTCAGTTCGATTTCGAGCGTATGGCGACAGTCTTCAGACAGGACTTGCAGCGGCAAGGCAAGAAACACTTGATGTCCACACAATTCAAAAGGCTCATAAGTCGTTGTCTCTCCCACACGTGGGAGATAGAGTGGCTTCAAACTCAACTGTTCGCTACATCCCAACAAAGACCTTTCAATCTCTGGTTCGTTTGTCCAAGACTTTGAAGTCAGTTTGGAGGTGTCCATGTCATCTGGGTTGGATTCATCAACCTCCATTTCGGATTCCGGACTGTTGGGTGGCAAGCTTGGTGTGTATTCCATGTCTTCCTCAACACGAGGACGCTTACCCTCAGAATTCATGTCTTCACTGACAGGTGGCACAACCGGTGGTTGCTTAAAGTCGAATCGACGACGTCCTGTTGGATGCTCGGAAAACGGTGGCGCAACAGGAATGCTTGGTTCGGCTTTGTCAATCTCAGCTTGTTGTGATTCAACCCAGGTCTTATACCTACGCTTACATTCAGCATTATGCTGTCTTTTCCCAAAACTTTTCTGGCTACATCCATTGCAGCCTGGGGTTCGACCGTGGACCTTGACCCAATCGGCCGGAGGCCCCGAAGGTCGAATCGGAAGGGGCAGAGGTCGTGCATCTTCCAAACGGACTGCAGGTGGTAGTGGACTGACAGGTGCCTGAGTGAGAGCGGGATTCAGCCGAACATCGAAAACGATCTTGTTCATCACTCGAACGGTTCTTGCGCGAAACTTTCGAAGCTCGAGGTTCCCATTGGGCATACGACAAAAACCATAGACCATTTGGCCTTGTTCACCACAGGTTCCTCCTATGAAACTTGCCACGATCCAACGACTATCGGCTGGCGTTCGAATCGAATCCGGTGCTTCTGCAAAACACAGGGCTCCAAACACAGTACATGGTGGCTTTGACCTTGCGTGGCCACTCAACAATTCATTGGCTGACTTTTCACCCCCGCGAGGTCGGCGAAAATGGTTCTGAGTCCAGGCTAAATAATTGAGGACTTCACCGATTGAATCGGGGTGAACATCAACTCCAACATTTTGCAGCTCTAAGCGCAAAACAGATAGGTGCTCTTTCATAGCTCTTACGGACTGTTCGGCATGACCTACCGACTCGTGATTCTGGGGCGACGCTTTCTCAACTCTGCAGGCCACGGACAACCGAAGAAGCCGTGCAACAGCTTCCTCCGCATCGCTCTTGACCAAAACGGTCATTCCAACCTGAGATGAGAAGCCAACATATTGGAAAAACTGTTGAACAGAAGCACGAGTGATGGCTTCACTTTTGTGGCATTCAACATACGCCACTGCATGGGAGATGGGCTCAACAAGACACAGGACCTTGATTGACCTTCCGGGAAAACAGGTCAGGTAGGCAAAATCAGCGAACACTTCTAACGATGAACCATCTGGGTGCTTCCTCCTATGGTGGTGAACTCCCCGACTTGCCCTGCATGCATCACATTCAGGGTCATACACGGAATGCCCTTCAAGACGGTGCTTGAACAGCTGCCGGTTCAAACGCTCTTGCAGCCGGTCACGTGGGACATCCATGTCGCCATCATCACACTCCAGAGCTGGGCCGGGCACGGGGTGTCCACCGTCGTCTTCGGCGTACGACTTTAAATGTTCGAAAACAAATAGGGGTATCTTGGACCCATCAAACCCAAATGCAGAATCCCTTGGAATGGAATCAATCCATGAAGACACATCGATGACTTTTGGATCGTGCGTTTCTGACAACGATGACACGGCTTCCAAGAAGCCACAACTGATCTGATGCTTCGCCGAATGCTTCAAGCACGACTTGGCTCGATAGCCTTTGAGCGAATCAACTTCCATAGCATCCGGTGGCCCTGCAAGTGGTGGGCTTACCTCGTTCTTCAAACCTTCACCACCTGAAAACTTATGTTTTCTTGATGGGATGCTCGCAGTCAACCACGGAACATTCCCAAACATGTCAACGCCAAACTGAAAATCACCGTACGAGACCCGACAACCCTCGATCTGTCATCTCGCACTTGAAGCCCTGTCTGCAGACCTGAAACATGGATAGTAAATTGTGCTGGACCTCAGAGACCAAGCACCTGAGTTCGAAAGGCCGTTTCGACGCACGTCCATGCGGCCCATCCTGAACCCAAAAAATGCGCTTCAACGATCACTTCAGTAGTGACCACCATTTCTTCACCACTTGCTGTGCTGAAGGTCAACGGTTCATCCAACAAACGACGACGCAAGATCTTGTAAAATTGCAAAAAGGATTTGTTGATGACTGATCGACTTGCACCAGAATCCAACAACCAAAACCCTGCATCTACCATGAGATCCTCGACATCAGATGTCGAGCTGGAAAACTGATTGGGCTCTTTTTCTTCTAATCGAAGAGAAGGCTTCAACGGAACATTGCTTCCTGAAGGCACTGCCGGATCAAAAGATACCGCTCTAGCTGCCGCGCTATGAGAGTTAGTCTGCAAACTAGCGGAATGACGATGGTCCAAACCCTCACAAATCGAACTCTGGGGATTCTTGGGCAACCAAACACACAAACGCGACTTGGCATGTCCCTCATCGAGCTCCATCGGATCAATTTCAGACCAAGCCTCATCAAGCTGAGATTCCTGCTCAACATATTCGGCTGCTCGTTTCCCTTTTGGACCCTTGGGTTTACCCTTTTTCCCCTTTCCCTTACGATCTGGAGAGCCTTTGGACGAACTGTCACCCTTTCTGCTATCTTCGGAATGCGTTCGGGACCTCTTACCATCTGACTTTCCATCCTGTTTTCCTTTTCCTTTCTCTTTTCCACCTGAAACATTTGGACCTTTTCCTTTTCCTTTCTGACCATCTGGAAGACGGACTCTGCAATCCCTCGTGATGTGACCTCGTTTGCCACACCGAAAACAAATCACGTCTGACTTATGTCCTTTTCCGGAACCTGCTTGGTATTCATTCAAAGACAAAGGTTCCTTAGACATATCGAAGTGTTGACTGTTCAGGACGGTTTTCTCATAGAAAACACCACAGGCACGCTTCGCTCCGGCATAGGTCTCCGGGGCGTTCAATTGGACATAGAGCTTTGCGTCACCAGTCAAACAACGAATCAACAGTTGGTACAGATCCGAATCTTGTAAACAAATGTCATGGATACCGCTCTTGTCTCCGATGTACGTATCCAGCATCTGGTTGAATCGGAAAACTTCAGCTTCCAACCTGCGAATGTTGTCTTGTAGGTCGCAACTGTCCAAAAAGCGAAATTCTAGAACTAAATTCCTGAAATAGATACACTCACTCCGGGTCTTGAGACCCAACTCCAAGCGAAGGCGGCGAATCAACTCATAACCGTTGGGCTGGCCTGAATGCTCTGCTTCGTACAGCCGAATAAGAATATCCCAACGTGAATTGCCTGATGGAGTTCCTGATTGCTTGATCACATGGAAAAGCCTCTGTGAACGCAAGATCTGATCTTGGCTCATCTCTGAATGCAACAAAGGCCGACGAAAACCTAAAGCTTCTTTGCCTTCCTCATGATAATTGGGATCGATCAAACTGAGCCAACTCACTATTTCCTCCAAGTACTTACGAAAACCCAAAACTTCGTGGGGTCTTGTGGTCCATTTGGAAGCATCAATGGTTGGGATGGATGGCATCAACTTGTCACTGAGTGATCGATTCGATGACGTCGACTGCGGCGGAATCGGAGTTTGTTGCGTTCGTTGGTTGTTTCCGGTCGAAGTTGATGCAGCTCCAGCAGTGTTTTGTGAACCTGATGTCGAAAAAGCCTGAGATTGTTGAACAAGGTTCAAAAGAATTTGATTCTGCTGCTGCATGGTGTTCATCATTCCGGCTAACTGGCTCAAAAACGAAGGCAAGTCAACCGCTGGAGGAGGAGCTACAGTCGAACTACTTTGGTCTAACCCTGGAGGTGCACTTGGTGGTGAACTTGGGGCACTTCCACCATCCGGTCTAAACGAAGGCGTTTGTTCCGAGCCCTGTCCACGCCCAGTTGCCTGAGAAGCTTCTTCTGGTGTGATATCGAAAAGATGCTGAGCTTCGGCAACTGACACTCCAGAAAACAAAGAGTAGGTTCCTCCAGAGATTGAGTTCCCAGAGTCATCTCCAGTGGCCATGGCGCAAGACTCAAGAGGTAAAGAAGATCCTAGTCAAGTATCCTAGTTGAAACCTTCCCCAAACCGTAGCGGCTCCGCTACCATGCGAAGATGCAACACCTAAAACTAGATGGATCTTGTGTAGAATGTCCAACTCCAAGAGACTGAAAACTTTGGTACACTTCTCGACTTGAAATCCCGACGCGCTTCTTTTCCGCTGCTCCCACGACTCTTCGAGTTACGCGGCTTGAGCCAAGATTCGGGCAATCTTGGCGTGTTCGCTCACATGGATAAAGGTGTTCTTGACTGAAGTCAAGAGTGGCCAAAAACATGAACACTATCGTTCAAGTGGGCCTTTGGGATCTTCGTGCTGGCTCACAAGGAACTTCAAGAAGTGACTTTTCAGAGTAGGGGGTGTATGGGGGGTACCCTTTCTGAGCTTCTCAAATTGCAGATTTTGATAGAGTTTTAATAAGGGAAAATGAAAGAAGTTTCCTAGAGACTTTTTGGAAATTCTAGGAAAACTGTTGCTTTGGGAGAGCATTGGCAATCAATCAGAAGATCAATTTCACCATGGCAAGACAAGAAAATATTGAAAAGGCAAAAAGAACAAAACTAATTAAACACATATATATATATATTTAATAAAAGTAATTTTTTTTTTCCTGGGGGGACAGGGGGTGGACTAATAGGGGGGGGGTTTCAGCCAAGCAACATTTTTATTAGAGGGTGGTGACTGTGGAAATTCATAGTTCAAATTAGTTTACTATTGGGGCCTGAACGCTGGGTAGACTAATAGGGGGGGTTGGTTAATACCATGTTGACATTACTCTAACCACAGAACAGGTCCAGTCTCACCCACCGGTGACCGACTGTGCTCGGAAGAGATTCCACCCAACTGTCGCTCGCCTGATGTTGCCTGTCGGGAATCCCAGTAAACCAGCACACTCCCTGGAATTAACATGGAAGTGGAGAATGGACCCGAAAGGAAGACCATGAAATCCACTACAAACAGGTGGTGCCATCCACGTAACCATGTCAGTTCCAGGGAGAGTAACAGTCGGTCAAAGATTATCACTTCCTATAAAGATCCCCAGGACCCTTCGCAGGTTCGGCGGACCCTGGACCCGACCCCGTCGGAAAAAAAAACCAACCGGTGGTGTTCCCTCACCTTGATAAAGAGGGTGGCAGTGGATTCATAAGGACGATTTTTGAGAAAGGCCTGAAATTAATTGGCCCAACCTGCAACCTGTACCCTGTAAACACCGTGCAACACCTGCAATCGTTGGAGGTTCTAAGCAGCCCAGCAGCCGCGGCTTCTCCTCCTTGACACTTTGGCAAGAGTTTATTATCTTGTTTGAGGGGGTAAGGAGGGTGACAATCCACTCACGGGACTCGTGACATCCACTCAGGGCATGGAAACTCCTGATTCGATCGACTGCGGTTCGGCATGCCGTTTAGGACTCGAGAAGTCGACCTGGACCCAGGCAATGGAAATCACGATGGGTGCGCACTGCACTGCCACCTTCAAACAGAGGGTGTGGATTCGTGGATCATAGATTTACATCCATTGACCGTCATTGACCTCTTCTCAACCACCCCAATGTACGGTTACCAGCACCCTCCAACAGGTGGTTTTTGGACACCTCTTAACCTCTAAGAGGCTATTTATAGACACCTCTTGGAGGGTCCTGGTAAAAGTTGCTTCATGTTGGGGGCACTAACCTGCCGCCCTGAAACCGCGGAACATCCAGGTGCAGCTGGAGAGTGAGAGCTGGAGTTCGAGGGACCCGCTTTTTTCGAAGGGAGTGTTTCTCATCGATGTCTCAGGGGCCCAGTCTCCTGGTCCAGTCTCCAGGTCCGAAACAACCATCTATACCAGCACCTGATGTTGACTCAACAGGTCTCTGAAATGGAGGATTGGGAAGGGCCCGAAGACACGTTCCTAACACGTTTCAAGTGGTGACCTGTTGGCCGTCGGTGCATGATGGACCTCTAAGATAAGGGTCAGTTCGATGGAGCGAGGAATGGAGCTCGTGGATGCTGCTGTGCAAACTCTGGTGGATCCGAGCTCGGGACCGGAACTAAACCCTACCAACAGAGGTTAAGTGACCTGAGCTAGGACCCGTCATCAGGGGTACCGAACTGGGATAGTCTAGTTCGGGTCATTCAACCGTTGTTGGTATACCATTTCTTCTGGGCAGATTCTTGCCAAGCTCCTAAACCTGGAGGGTGGAGGTTTCGAGGCTGAACCAGGTGGGGCGGACAGACGTGCCAGGATGCCACAGATAGCTGTTCATGGCGGAGAGACTGGCGATCCACTGGACTCGATGGACGAGGCCGAGTTGGAACACAAGAGCTCCTTTGCTGCGGATCGAGTCTGAGCGGTTTTCGGCGCGATGTCGATGCTCGGAGAGCTGATGAGAGCTGCGCATTTGGAGCTCGCTCGAGGTAAAGCCGCCCCTCTCCTGCGTGCCTGATCGCCGGATCGCCAGATCGACCAGCCACCGGAGACCGGGAGTTTTGAAGCAAATGTTGTTTCCATCAAGTTCCATCGTTTCTAGGAAGGTTCCTTTCGCTCTTAGGTTGGAGGCCATCCCTATAAGGTTGCTCAAACCAAGCTGAGGAACGATCGCCTCTGCATGCCCTATGCGACACCGGACACTCTGTGACCCAGATGTTCTCTTTCCAAGAATCGCCTGGGGAAATCCCGGGAATTGAAGGCAAGTTTATCTGAGTCACAGAGTGACACCCTGAAAACCACCCAGGAAAGAGAACATGGGTTTTCTGGGTTTGCAGATGAACATGGACCCTGAAAACCACTGGGTGGTAGATGAGAATGCTCTTGCAGGGGCTCCCTTCTTCACGGTCAATGTTCGTCTGGTTATGGGGGGTCATGTTTGTTGACCCGGAACGCGAGTCGTTTCAGAATGTGTTCTACACCTCTTGGTAGGACTGACTGCACATACAGAGGAAGACCACTCACAGAGGACCTGAAGACGGAAGACCACTCTGCCCGACGGGTCCTGACTCAATACAACCTTGCCTGGTCACCTACAGTCGTTTCAGAGGTTCGATGGCACGGACCTCATGATGTCCTGAGAACATGGAGGTTCATCATCTTCATATAAACATATATAAACCATCGACATTTGGGGTCTGCGCCATCTACTCTCAATCCACTATCTATGCTTTTTGTATGATCAGCTTCTGTAAGAAACATGAGGTCAGTTCCTGGCCCGTAGGTCTCTGGGTCGGGATCGTTGAGCGGTGGAGAGTCAGTGGACTCCAGCAGAGGCACCCGCAGCCGGTGCCTGCAGCGGCGACTTAAAAGGAAACTACTCGGGGAATGAACGATTGGGTAGCGCGGCAACACGTAGCATTTGGCTGGGGGGGCACTGGGGCACTTCTCGAAGTGATCGAACACATCACCATCCATCCAGCCACTGCAGGCTCCTACCAGACCTACACTTGGCCTTCACCACCGAACGGCGTGGAGAACGTGTCCTTCCCGCCAAACCGCCAGACCCACGAGCTCTACCTGGAGCGAAGGGTCGCGGTCACATCGCCCGAGATGTCCTTTGTGAAATGCCGCAGGTCATCAAAGTCAACTCCATGAGACTGGCATATTTACGTACATTGGGGGCTAGTTGATTTGCATGTTTCCCGTGTCAATATGCCAGTCCCTGTTTTGAGTGTTTGGGAAATTCAGGCAGAGAAATTTCAATCATGTCGACTGAACATGAGTTGGATGTCCGGCAGTTGTATACGCACTGAGAAGCGGAAGGTGGAAAATGGACGAAAATGGTGCTTAAGACTTGAGTTCCTTTTACCAAGCTATACAAACCAGCAGTCACAAAGGGGTGCCCACTGGAGAATAGGGGTGCCCAGCTACTGTACTCAACTCACTTAGGGACTCCCAAAACCACCCAATTGTGACTGCTGTAGAGTTGTTTTCATGTCCTTGTTGTTTTCTAAATACCATTTCACCTTCCCCCCGCAGCTGTTCAGTCCAGCCGGCGACTGGTGTTCGGCCCGGCCGTGGCACTGCACGGCGTTCTGAACTGCGTGAGGAGAACTTGGATGAGTATTTGCAGAAGGTGCGGCGCGAACCGGAGATGATCAAGCAGATGGCGAGTGCCAAGTGGACGGCCGTCAAGATGCGACGCTCGGGGCGTGGTTTCGTTGTTCGTTGTGGCGTGGGCGCCACGCACTACGCGACGCACCGCGCGCGGGAACACGAGATGTTTGGGTGTGGACTGGTGTAGGGCCGACCTTGGAGGGTTGGAATATAGTAAGATAGTGGTGCACTCACACTCACACTCACTCACACTCACACTCACTCACACTCTCACTCTCTCACTCTCACCCACACTCCCTCACACTCTCACTCTCACCCACACTCACTCACACCACTTTTGCTCACACTCACACTCACACTCACTCACTCACCACCACCGCGTCACCACAATCCCCACCTTCATCACCACCATCACCTCTCTGGACCCCAATGCGTCTAGATCTCTACACTTTCTGCTTATAGACCTCACAGACACACACTGTTTGGGGTCTTTTGCCGGGATTATAGCTGACGCGGCCCACCATCACTGGATCTTCCAAACTACGTAAAATGTTTGCCGAAACCAGCCAAAAGGCATACGACACTCCATGTACTGAGGAGGCCCCACCTAGAGTGTCCAGTTTTCCTGCGTCAGCAAA